ATTGCTCGTTGTGCCACTGTCGCCTCGTAGTTTGCCTTGTTGTTGTTGCTTCAGCAAGTACAAGGATGCCAACTTTTCAGGTTGTTTCACCGTTTTATTGTAGTACTGCGATGTCTAATCAGACTCCATATATTGGGAGTAAAATTAGTCTAATATCGAAACTCGATATTCGCTATGAAGGAATACTCTACACTGTCGATACGAACGATTCCACGATTGCATTAGCGAAAGGTTCATTTTGGTTTCATAATGCATCACTTTTTGTTTGTGTTCGTTCTTAATGAGCGGGATATTTCAGTACGATCATTCGGTACCGAGGACCGTCCAACGCCGAATCCGGTCGAAGCACGTGACGATGTTTATGAGTACATCATATTTAAGGCAAACGACATAAAGGACCTCATCGTATGCGAAACACCAAAGGTGCAAGATCGACTGCTTTACGTCAATTCGTTATACAATTCTCCGATTATAGGTTGCAACCCTCGCAGGTGGGCTTCCATACGATCCGGCGATCATATCGGTGTCCGCTCGTACAGGATCCGCTTCTGCCAACGAACAGCAGGCTTCCGCTGGTTCATCTCGCTCCGATACCCCCCATCATCGTGCCAGCCCCAACCTTGCTCAAGGCAATCGAGCACCTGGTGCTGGACGGAATGCAGCCGCTCGTACAAATCGTGGGAACTTCGCACCGCCAGGTGAGTCCAAACGAGCCACGAATGTAATCGCTGATGCTATATGAATCGGGTGGGCACACCAATTTCTCATATTACTCATCACCTATAATTCTACTAACTGCTTACTCACCCGGCTCCTTCACTGAAACAGCTTGGGGAAACGACGCCGCGTTAATAGTTCGCGACTCCGGAGATTAGGATAGTAGGCGACAGGATATTAGGATAGTAGTAGAGTAGGAGATTGCGCTGACAAGATTGGATACGTATCGATTGAAATCGCTGGAGAGTAGTAGATTGGGCGACTTCAAGCGAATAGATCAATACATATCTAATCTTGTCAGCGCACTATCCTAATCTCCTACTCTACTACTATCCTTCTAAGGCCGCGTTCATAGTTCGCGACTCGGGAGATTAGGATAGTAGGCGACAGGATATTAGGATAGTAGTAGAGTAGGAGATTGCGCTGACAAGATTGGATACGTATCGATTGAAATCGCTGGAGAGTAGTAGATTGGGCGACTTCAAGCGAATAGATCAATACATATCTAATCTTGTCAGCGCACTATCCTAATCTACTACTATCCTACTATCGTAATATCGCAATCTACTACTCTCCGGCGATTTCAATCGATACGTATCTAATCTTGTCAGCGCAATCTCCTACTCTACTACTATCCTAATCTACTACTATCCTAATCTCCCCGTCAATACATATGTTTCATTGTCGCGTACTATCCTAATCTCCGGAGTCGCGAACTATGAACGCGGTCATAGCAACGTTATTTTTCCTCGAAGGTTGTTTTGTTAAAAAAAGCGCGGCGTGCTTGCTCATTGATCTGGTCCCCAATTATTTCTTATGGGCCTTACATTTGCAGTTGCAGACTTTTCCGGGTGCTATACAAGTGGGGTGGGCACGACCAGCTTTTCACGTATGTCAAGGACTGCCCTCACTCCACACCACCGTGGATTCTCCCCTACCTGCTGGCTCACGAATGCCGCAATTCCATGACAGTATAGTAGCGGGCAGCAGTCCCACTCATACATTTCTGTTCAAAAAATGTGGCGTGACCACCCTACTTGTATAGCACCCTTTTCTGTTTTGTCTTTTATAGCCCTTCAACATTAGAGCCTCATTTCAGCGCATCCGATCGGTTCGCAAAATCGACAGTTCAATAATGGATATCCTCGTGGCGGATACAACTATGCAGGTCAACGTCCTCGCAACAACCAAAGTGTTGGTGTTCCCCGTCCTCGTGAAAAGCTGAAGTTCGATGGCGACTACGATTTTGAGAAGGCGAACGAGCAGTTCCAGGAGCAGTTTTCCGATATGTTCAAGGACAAGTTAAAGGTTATTTTTCATTTTGAGATGCTACACTACTGCGTTGCGACCGTGTCCCATGCGTTCTGTGGTTCTTTTTGCTCTCGGTTCTCAATCCATCATGTAAGGGGTTCCTACTCAAGTTTTTCCCATCCCATACACGATTTCAGCGACGTGTCGGTTTTGTCGCGCTCGTTCAATAGGAATCCAGTGAGCCGTTTTCGTCTTTTTGCAGTGTGTGAGCGGAAAAAGTAGGAAGCGGCAGTCGTCATTCACTGAACATTGCATTGGTACGCAGATTTCGAATAAGTGGCAAAAATTTCTACGGGTCGATGAGAACCGAAGAATCGCTTTTCCTCCAGAACGGGGTGCCTTCGAATTATTGATTCCCTTGATAGATGGGTATACATTCTTTTTCGCTGATTCACGAATCATTGAATCTTCCAAAAACTTGCGAAATTGCAAAATTTAAAAGTAAGCCAAAATTAAGCCCATATGAATGAATTCAATGCTTTCAAAGCTTGCGCACACCCTAACTATGTGACTCGACCACGAATTGCAGTCCCTCAAGTCCAGGATGGATGTGTAGAATGTTCTTGATAGGAAGTTCAACAATATTTGTTAAATACTTTTGCAGGTCGATGGCGAGAAAAGCGAGGAGGAGCAGGCTGAGAAAGCTCCCGAAGACACTTATTATGACAAGAAAAGCTCATTCTTTGATCGCATTAGCTGTGAGGCTTTGGAGAAAGCTGAAGGAAAAAGTGGACGTCCGGACTGGAAAAAGGAACGCGAAACAAATCAGGAAACTTTCGGGCACTCTGCAGTTCGCTCGCTGAACTACCGTCGCGGCTTCGGGCAACGTGGACGCGCTCGTGGATATGGACGTAAGCATTATTATAGAATTTATTCGTTTTCTTTTTTATTTTTATCGTTTAATAAATGTGCCAACTTGGGTGAGCTTGCGTATGGCTTTTGGTATGATGAGGTGTAGGGCTGTTTTAACTAGTTTCGAAGAAGAAGTGTAAGCGGTTAACTATGTACAGTCGGCACCCCTTTAGTTGTGCCATCCTTGGCTTGTTTTTTCGTCCTAACTCAGTAGCGGACTATGATCCACGGTGATGTGCAATTTGTATGTGGGACAGTGCTGTTGAGTGGCATGGATGTAACATTCGTCGAGGCTGTAAAACAACAGTCGAAAATAGACCTGAAGCCTTCTATTCAGTTTGCGTCGTATGAGATAATCTTTATTTATATAGCGTGCTTTCCCACTCTTGTTCTAAGGCTGTCTCACCATGCTGACAAAAAAGTTCAAATGTGGAGTGTGATTTGTGTAGAATTAGTAACAGCGGCGCACTATACCAATGCATTGTGATCACCAGGGAGATTTTGGTTTCGTGTATATGTTAATAGAGACCTATTCAATCGATGCGTGAAGAGGGGCGTCACAAATAGGCATATTAAAGCGCGTTTGAAACTTCCAGCAAGTTTTGAAAAAAGCAAAGTTGGACAGGGAAATGCAGCGTCACTGTGATGGGGCTATCTAGTTCTATCCTAAATGGTTACCCGTCTTTAATTTCTTCCGAAACCTGTATAGGCGTATATAGGTGTCTAGGTCACGAATATAACATTCATTTTTGAAACAGTGGCTGTCAAGGGCCAGTCTGTCGCTGCAGCAACTTTTTGCTGCATTTATTGCCATTTCTGACCGCGTAACTTTGGAATGTTTAGGTAGCAGTTTTGCTTTCCATGGTTGTGACTAGTATTCTTGATCCTATTGAGTTATCCGGGTATCCATTCTAACTTCTATGGGGGGTTGAAATCCCTCCCTGGTTAGATGAGGTAGTTGAAGTTCAGTGTTGTTTCGTCAAATTTAATTTACTTACTTCACGATTTCTAATAGCTTCATACGGCACGTGTTTCAAGGCTAATGCGGAGAGATAATGACTTTGTAAATGACTAGTTGTAGCTCCAATTTCATGACATTGTGTTAGCTTTAGTGCTCTTTATGGGTTATTCAAGGAGCAGCCTTTCCAGGACCTGGAGATGGTCGTTACATCAACAACTTCAACCGAAACTACAACAATTTCCGTGGTGGATATGGGAACAACAACGCGAACGCTCGCGGGGGTTAGGTTTCAATAGAGGCGGGAATATTCACGAGACCCAGCAGCAGTGAAGTTCTTTGACGAGGGGTGAAACATACTGTGCTTTTACATAATGTAGAAATTTTAAAAAAGCTGTTGCTCGTCTTTCATATGGTTCTTGTTTCGAGCTGGAGCTTCGTTACCCCCACACCTTTCAGAAAAAGAAGCTGTCTGAGCCTGTTAAAATTCCCATGTGCTAATCTCGTTGTTGACGGGCAGTATTACAAGTTTGGGTTTTGTATGTGGTTTTTAAGATCTAGTTCTTTTTGACGTTTTCTTTTTTGTTGAACTGCGATGTGCATGAGTTATCGGTGTAGTGTGTTGTTTTTTATGGGACCACAGCATAACAGCTATATATCTTAGTTTGTTAACTTGCATCATCTTTGTTTGTTGGATATTTATACATTCAATAAAGCTTAATAGGTGCTGATGGCTACGTTCAGCATTACGGTGAATGTTCGCAGTGGTTTTTTCTAATCACTTAGTATATGTCGGCCATGGATTTGCTATCTGCAGCGAAACAAGAGTGTCTTGTTCTACATGTATGTGCCGTGACTGATTACCTCCTTTATGCATACACCTGTTTCAATCAAGTATTTGTGCAGTGTAACTGTTTCCAATTTTGGTGCTAATTATTCTTCGTACACACTGAGGTACGGTTTCGGGTTGTCGCTCAATCTTCCATTCAGTTTCTGAGATTTGTGGTGACTTCAGGTGCATGTCTTAATTTTGCCCCTGCAAGTTCTCATCAGGATGTGTAGACTCGAGATAGGTTGTGATTGCGTAGCCTTGATGTGGCTAGCGTCTAATTTACAATTCATTCTCATGCAGTAAATAATCGTTTCACCAAATTTTAACTTTTGGACCTATGTAGGAGATCACCAAAGAATGCTAATTCTGGATGTAATCAAGTCTATGCTGAGCTAGCGGCTTATAACATGTGAGGGAATGCTAAAGCTGGTGGCCGGGTGATGCTTGGTTGGTTGTTGTGTGGCTCATCACTGTTGTATTGACTTTTGGGCTTATCTTACAGTCATGTTCTCTTCAACGATTGCTAGTGATTTTTCACTCAAAAGGTCTCAAGTCTCGGACTTTTCACGGAAAGTCAGTCTTATTTGAAGTATCCATTTTCCATTATTTGTTTGTAGTTTCCTAGCATGCTGTTGTTGATTTTTCTCCCGAAGATAAGGTAGGCTCTTTTTTGCTGATTAAGGTGACCGAAACGGTGTCGGTGTTGCTGGCGACAACTCCCGCGAGTTATTGATTGAACCTGCCCGCAACCTTGCCTTGTACAGAAAGACCGTGGAAGGCGGTGCAGTCAGCCAGCACTCGGAAGAGTCGCTAGAGAGTATCCATCCTACAAACGGTCTCGAGCCTGGAGCGATGGCTGATTATTTCCGTTCACCTGCTTTCTACTGGTATTTAATTATTCTTCCTGCACTCGGGATCAATTTTGTGAGTTTCTGAAGTTCTTCTTTCTATTCGTCCTCGAATGTCTTTAGTTCAGAAGACGCGTTTTTTAGATAGCCAGAAAGCTGATTAGTGTAAGAGACGACCTTCCATTTGCATTGTTTGAGGGGAAGGGGTCGTATTTGGGTTGGGCGTGTATATCCATATCTTGACAAAATTACTAGCGGGGGTCGTATCTGTGGAAGTTGAAGGAGTCGGTTGCAGATACGGGGTCGTTTTGACTTTTTTGAAATTCTGACAAGAATCCAAAAAGAAGCGTAAAATAGGGAAAATTAGAGGAAAAATTGAAGGAATATGGCTTCTTCTTCCCCTCTCCCCCGTTCCCCTCCCCCCCCCCCCATCATCCCCACAGTGTCCCTTGCTCGACCGTCATTTAGAGGAACAAAGCCGGAGGAGTTTCGACTGTGTCTCTGATTCAAATGCTATAGAACAGCCATGATGGCTGAAGCGTGTCCGTGGGTGAAGTTGAGGAGGGAAGGGGGGTTTTTTCGATAATGAGGAGTCTCTTGTGCGCTGATTGGGGTCGTGGCGGTGGTCATATCGACGATCCCTCCCTTAGACGGTTGAAAAGTGGAACATGGGTGTTGACCCTGCGATAGTTGTCAGTTCCTATGTTTTCCCGGGATTTCGTGTGATACACGCTCCTGTTGAACGCCGATCTTGTTAACTAAAGCAACACTTCAATGAGGTCGTGTCGAGGAATCTGTTCTTTGGATGGGATAGAGCAGCGGAGTGTCACAGATGTGCCGTTGTCGTGGCTCAGAAGTACGCGACATTACACCAGGGCCTTTACAGAGTGAGCTCTGGTGGCGATTAATTTGAGGTTATTTTATGACATTTCCTCGTGCACACTTTATAACACGCAACGCGTTACGGCGTAGCGGCCAATTCGAATACGCACGAGTTAGTGGAGTCACACAGGTTCATACAACTCGTCCGGCCCCGCCCCTTCCTCATTCCCAATGGGAAAGAGAGGAGTCGTTGTTTAGGGTTACAAACGGTTTGCTTTGCTCCTTTTTCCATTTTCACTCAACTTAGCATCCACAGTTCCATTATGGACCGCTTTTGCCCTACCAATTCGATTTGGGGTAGCTGCTTTGAACGGAACATACTTATTAGCGGGAGTGGATACATCACAGCTAGTCATTCGAATAAGTGGTGAGAGATTAGGAGGCGGGAGGTTGTGCCATAGAATAGAGGACAGTAAAAGGTTCAACGTTGGAAAATGCTGTAGTCATCCTGAACGAATGTTGCCCTGTGCAATCCTGCGTTCTACGAATAAGGCGGGTTTGTTTTTTCGGTTTTTGAGACTCCTCTGCTGAATACTATTCATGTGGGAAGGGATGAGAAGGGGAGTCACATAAACGCTTGTTCTGCGATCATACTAAATTTGTGTGAGCACACCTCCATAGTAAGCGTTTGGACATTGCTGGCCGATTGTGACCGAATGAGTTAGCGGTGTAAAACACGAAAATTTGATGATGCAGCCATCACGCATCCCTTCTTTTTCCGCTCAGCTCCGATTTTAGAATAGTTTTGGGTGTTGGATTGGTGTAATACTATAATCAATGGGCTGCTGGGGGTTAAACTAGAAGTAATTTCCTCCGATACGTACTTTGCCTAAGGGGGAGAGGGGCAGAGACGATTGAGCGAGATTACAGTGAGATTTTAAGTTTTTGAACGTAACAGTATGCCTCAAGTGGGACCAGGTAACTGTGATTTTCGGGCGGTGTTTCTTACACAACTCTAGAAGAAGCTCCTTTAAAGTAAGATTTTAGCTTTCCTAGCTGTGATAGAGAACCGTCTACATGTAATTAACTATTCCATCATTCACTTGCTTTCAGCTCGCCTATTATTCGCCAAACCTTCTCCGGACATATGTTCCTTTGATTGGATCTATGGCTGCTTATATCGGTACTAACTATCACTGGATTACGGTTTACACGAATGTCTTTGCATTAGTTGCACATATCGGAGAGAGTCTTTATGCTTTGTATCTCTGTGCCAAGCTGAAATTCAGGTAAGCGTAATCCTTTGTTCCGGAAAACTGAAACTCATCTCTTTTTTCAGTTTGTCGTGCTCAGCAAGCTGGTTTGTGCAGACCTTCCTCCTCGGATTCCCATCTCTTAGCATTTTAGGTAATTTTGCTGCTAAAACGAAAAGGAAGCGTTGAGTAATGAATTTATAACGGGAAACTTAAGCTGATAAATCTTCCATTCCTTTGTGTCCTAACTGTTCGTTCTGAAAGTGGTTGGCGAATTCTTGAAGTGGGACGTCATTGAAATGTGTAGCAGCGTGGTATCAGAAAAAAATTCCGATACAATGACAATGGAACGTGAGCTGTAACTGTAGCTGCTACAGAGTGAGATAATTGATGTTCGATAAAAAGGAAATGGAAAAGGATCGATGTGACTTAGATCTCTGATTTCGATAATGGAGTGTTTGAACAGTGAGTATGCATGATGTGCATGCAAACATTATGCTTGATTTCCCTGTGACGTCTATTTTGCGTCTTGCAGTGACTCGTTAGAGTACGGATCAGCAGCACGGTATCAGATAGCTTCATTTAAGTAACTGGAGACGTCAGTATCAGATTGATAGGCGTCATGTGTTGCTACTGGACAATGAGGCTGAGTTATACGATTTCTAGGTGCGATAGACTAGACTGTGCCAAACTAATACAAGATTTGACATTTCCTTTGAAGGAAGAATTCACGATAAGAACGAAGGTCAAAGGAGGGGAAAATTGCATAGTTGGGAGACAGGCGGACCTCCTGAGGGTGCTGACCGACGCGCAATTGGCAGCGAAAGATTTGACCTCGGCGATCTAGCATGGCTCACTCTTGGCGCGGTTGGCGGGGTACGCCCACCGACTATCTAATCACTCGCCGCAGGTCTATGGGCATGAAGAGGGCAGAGAGAGCGTAGTGTTGAAGAGGGCACAGCGATGAGTCGCATCAATGCGCAAATCAACGGGCAAGGAAGGGGTCCCATTTCTCGGGTTTCGGGCCGTTTCAAATGGTTTCTTCTTCATCCCTGCTCCACTGACCACCTCTACCCTTATTTCCAATGAGCTAACTTTCCTCGTTGAGTCTGCCTTTAAGGAATGCATAAACTTACTCGGGATGACTTGGAAATGTCATCTTGGATGAGAATAACCCTTTAGACCTTCGAGCCGGATTTCACGATGAAAAGGCAGCTTAATGAAGTAAGGGTAGAGGTGGTCAGTGGAAGCAGGGATGAAGAAGCCATGTGAAACGGCCTCGGAACCCGAGAAATGGGACTCCTTTATGTCTGTTGATTTCCGCCTTGATGCGACCTCATCTGGCTGGGCGTTCCAGGTCAATTGCATCAAAGAGAAGGCTATACTGAATCGCCGAGGGCATATCCTTCGATGCGATTTGCGTGTTGGTCCGCACTCTTAGGGGCTCCGCCTGTCTCTCCATTAGGGTCAGTACGCCCGTCTTCGACCTTTGTTCTCATCGTGGAATCCTCCCTCGAATGAAATGAACTTAAAAGGATAGCCAGCAGAAGAGCATCCATCGTCGCTACTGGATGGATGCATGCGTTCGGCAGTTCTTTCAAAGAGTAGCGTTCATAACCGCACTTCCTCATATGTCGAAAGTGCAAATAATTGTAATTGATTCAGCTGTGATAAAAAACGGTGAAGCAAGAACTGCAAAATGTTGGAAACACGAATTAGGACAAATACAACAACAAGCGTCCTTGTGCTGGACAAATATTGTGAGACGCTGTTCTTTCAATACTCTACAATAGTGAAAATTCATCAGATTTTATCAAGCTTAGTCGAATTTTAAATGTACGGATGAAAATGTAGGGGCTGTGGGAAACTACACCGCCCCGCATAATAATACCTCCACAAACAAATTTCCCAAAAAACGATATCTCACGATGTTCCCTGAAAAGGCTCCATGGGGCCTTTCCGGATTAATTTCGTTTGTTATTTATAGTTTGCTTGTTGTGCAGGATAAGAAATTCGTTTCAGTAACCA